TGGGTTTTTGATGGCCTAGGAACTTGCTAAAAACATAGCAGTCACAGTGAGTGTTCACACTTTGGGCTGAATGTCTACTTCCCCTGTCTTTTTAATGAAATTTGCATTTTTATGGCTCTTTGACTGGTATTTTAAAATCACTTAAGGAGATGCAGTGTCTGTGCAGGTTCTCAGCCAACAATTCTGCAGTCCAGGGCTTTTTCTTTGTTCATGAGGCAGGGGGTCTTGTTATTAACTATTGCATTCCCATGCTCTTTCATGAATGCAATTAAAATACCACCAGAAGGAATCTTCTATTGGTGAGAAGACATTGAATTCTCCCCCTGCTGTTTGACTCCTGCCCCCTCTTCCCTGTTCTTATGTTGAGCCTCTTATTTAGCCTCTGAAATGTTGAGTAACAGCCATTGAAAATTTAGTGGCTCATGCTACTTATTTGTATGCTTGCCAGAAGTACAACRAGCAACAAATAGGTACCAGTTCTCCATCTAGGACACTAAGCTTTCCACGGAGCTGATCTGTGTTAAATGCTAAAGCATTGCCTTGAGGTGAGAAGCCTCAGATCCTGGAGATAATTCTGTTTCCCTGGTTCCCAGGGGCATGCTATGAAAGCACTGTTTTATAATCACTTCAAAGCCATAGACACCAGGTAACAGAATGAGCTTCTACGTGATCATTGTTTATCCCTTGAATATGTAATGGCTTCTACTGCTAACAATTTTGATAGGAAAAGAAATAATAAATCTCCCCATGTGCTGGCTCTTGCTCCTTTGCTTTGCTTTACAGCTAAAGGCAGGGAGTAGAGAGGTGATTCTCAGCCCRTACTTTAGCTGCTGAATTACTTCTCTGTCAGTGAAAATTTACTAGGTGTTGCTTGTTTTTTGTAACAAGACCAGAAGTGAAAGTGTTACTTGTTTATCGCAGGCACTGTTGGACTTAAAAACTCTCTCCAGCGAAAGAAATGGAGATTTATCATGGTTGCTAGTGTTCTTCATTATGTTGTGGAGTGCACTCAAGCTCAGTTCTTACTTTCTGAATTTTCAGTTGAAAGTTCAGTGGAGGAGGCTGGGCAAAGCAGTAGGGTATTTTCTATAGCTATCTTCATCATCCATGTTAGTGGAAATCTCTGATTCTACTCGTGGTATTAAGGAGAAAGGGTGTAAGGTTGACATCTTTGCAAACTGACACGGGCCGGGTTCTGTGTTAGCATGGGGTGTGTTAGCAGATGTTACTTTGAATGCAGCAGGTTGGGCAGGTACTGAGATGACTTGCTTGGGACAAAAACAAGTTGGCCTTTTCCTGGTATTGGCAATGATTTAGACTGTGGCCTCTTTCATGTCAGCAAGAAACTGTATCTAGCACTATTCCCACCAGTTTTTCTCGAGGTTTCACACTCATCCTGCACTTCTTAGAGAACCTTAAGTTTATAAAATTAAACATCAGAGCAGCAATGCTCAAGAAGAAGCAGCTTCTAATAAGCAGTAGAATTCAAATAAGATTATGTCTTATTTTTATATAGCACCTTTCCTCCCAAATCACTCCTTGAGAGATAGTGAATTTATTGAATTATCTGTTCACCACCGCTTTCCTGACAAGAAAAACACCAACTGTTCATCAGTGCACAATCCTGCCACACAGTAAAGCGAGGACATAAATGCAAGCTTTGCMTGCAAAGGACCCAGTTAGACTTTATAGCCAAAGACAGAGAAACTGTGAAACATGCTGACAAAGCACATTGGGGACAAGTTAGGGCTAATGGGGCTAATGCCATTGTACACTGCTGACTGCTGAGACATACTGACTGCATGAAGGATTTTTTACCATTGGAGAGATTTGGGCACTGCTTCTTTCTATATAGATTTTTTGTCAAGCACTCTCTGACATGCTGGCATGATGTATCATCTCAATAATGTGTGAAGACTGGGGAAATTCAGTATTGTGGCTTTATTCCAGTACAGTGTCTGTCAAGAGAAGGGTGTCAGTCAATCGCAGGCTGGAAAAAGCAGTGTCCTGCTGCTCTGTGGGGCTGAAATTCTTAATGTCACTGTGTGCAGACCTGTGTCTCCCTTTTCATGCACGTGACTCCCTTGAACAGCCATGTATTTTACCCATGTTGAACACAAGCCTAAATCTTGCCACATTTCACACTGGAGGACGGGAGCAGCAGGACACTGGAGATGAGAAGAAATGACAGAGAAACTCTAGTTAGTGCCTGGGGAGATCTGCCACACTAATAAAGCTATTTAAACCACTCAATTACCATTAAATTATAGACTTAAAAGGAAGGAGTTTAGGAGATTGAACCAAATTAAGGTATGACTATAAAGTAAAGTTTAAAACAGATCGTTGAAATGGTTTGCTTATTGAATCTGTCGGTGCACTGCTTCCTAAAGTGATGGCTCTTCTGGAAGTGGCGAATCACTCAGCATGGGAGAGATGTTAGTGACAGTTGCAAACTGCTCTGCTTGGAACCTTAGTTATAAAAATGCCACTGAGCTGACTGGCCATCTTAAGAAAGGAATGCTTCATATTGTATCAGCAGTGGTGAATTCAGGCCACTTAGACAGCAAAAAATGCTGACCCAGGCAGAGCAGCTGAAGGCAGGCAGCCGGTGTCCTTTCTCACTTAAATTATTCTTATTATGCTCTGCCTCACTGTTACCAGCACCATCATTTTGGGGTAGTCTAAGCGAAGAGATTAAGAGTTGAGTTAAATAAATAAGGCTTGTTTCCTTCTCACGATGTTCCTGTCTCGGCATAGTCAGCGCATTGACAAAGCTGTGCGAGGGCAGCGATGGTAGCACTGGTCTGCATCTGTTTGGTGACTAGTAGCATCTGTTTGATGATTAACTGAAGGATTTCAGCTGTTAAAGCTGTCAATCTGACACCTTTCTTGAGTACTACAGTAAATCTGTGCTCCTGAGAATTGCTCTTTTTTTTTTCTTTTTTCTTTTTTTTTTTTTTGCTTCTTGCACGTGATTTACTCGATTCTTTGTGTCCTTGCCAATAACTACCATGGCGGCTAATGCGCTGTAAACTCGGAGATGTGAAGCAAGTGGCTGTCATTTTTTTGTTCACAACAGATGCTCCTGATCAGGAATCAGACAAAGGATCTCATCACTCTTCCTTGGAGCAATGTAATTTGTCCCCTCCGTGGCGTAAAAGCCAACTCATGCTCAGTGACTGATGTGCCCAAGTCCTACTTCATTTTAGGATCAGCTCCTGGAATTGTACAGAATTATTAGCTTTTTGACTACATGAAGGCAAAGGCAGTGGAAAAAAAGAAATGAAGTACATTGCTTACAGTGTCACCAGTAATGCATCACATTGAAAAGTTGCAAAAGCCTCTTTCCAAAAATGCGAAATCCAGCCTCTGTATTTTAAGAAAAGTGAGAAACACTCTGAGCACCTTTTTTTGAAGAAATAGCAGTTTAGATTTTGTGCTRTCTCTTCAGCAGTTGTAAGGCTTGGAGGTGGGAATATGCAACATATAATCTGTCACATTCTTGTAACTTGTTGAAGTGAACATTTGATGTATTTATAAAACATGTGATTTGCCTTGGATCTAGTTCTCAGCTCCTTAATAATGCAAGTTGTCCAAAAGGAATAATTACTTGGGGGTATTGCTTTTCCTTTGAGTTTGCTAAAACTGTATTGCTCTGCTGCTGTTGTGTTTTGTTGAATTGGTACAACTGGAAGTAGAAATTCTGAAGTTATTTATACATTCATTAGTCTAGGTAATCACCAAGTTACCATATACCTCTCCATCTCTTTTATTATCATATTTCCAAAATCCGGAGAATATGTATTATTAGGAGGAACTGTGTTATCTGTCTTTTATAACGTCCCTGCTAAGTTGGAGAGGTTTAACATTGCTGTGGATAGGGAGTTCTCCATGTATTCATCAAGAGATGAATAAGTGCTCCAAAGTGATTAGATTGCCACAGGGAAGGCAAGTCGCCTCCGGCTCGTCCACCACAATAATGAATTGTGTATGTGTCCAGTCATACCCAAGCCAAACTGGGATATGTTGGCTAAAATTGTCTTAGTTGCTCTAAAAACATAGCCTGCTTTGGTTTCTGTGGTTAAGCTGAGGGGAGTTACCTTGCTGAGGCAAGACAACTTAATCATACTAGACTTTTCACCTGCTGACATCTCATTAAATTCTAAATTTTAAAATAAGATCAGCTTGGTGAAGTCTTGTAAGAGTTTAATTAAAGCTTATTTGGTTTCTTGGGGTGTATATAAGATTTATTCTGTTTTAAATTCCTACTGGTCAAATTCATCCGTAATCTAGCTCTATTGGTCATAGCTGTACTGTACTGTATTGTAGGTGGTTTTGAACATAAATTTATCTTTCACAGTCTGCCACTGCGTTCAGAACTCCAAAATGTCCAGTATTTTATTGAATGCTTCTCTGCAGTGCAAACGGTTGTGACCTGATCTCTCTCAGCCTTTCTCTGTTGATCACATGCTGTCCTTGCATTCATGTATACGTTGTGCCACTGAAACCTGCTCTTGTGAGATCTTTAGAATTGTCTTTCAAGCGCTGCTTGGCTGTGTGCCCTGGCACAGGCTGTTTTGCCTGTGTACAGCGCCTGCTTCTGCCACCCAACAGCCTAATGCACTCAGTCCTCACTCACCCTGCACAGGAGATGGGGGACAGTTGCTGATGCAATTCCTGCATCAGACTTACTAGAAAGGAGAGACAAGGGAAGTTGGCCCTGTCTCATGTATGTGCCCAGCCCTGCACAAAAATCAGACCTGCAAAAGACCCAGGCAAATGATCTATGGCCACAGTCACCACTATCGTTCCTGATAAGTAAGCAACCTGTAGTCATTGTAGTCCATCACTGGTAGAAAAAGAAGCCACTTACATGATCTCTCTCTTTCTTTTGGCAGGTCGACAGGACAGAAGTGATTCGAACCTGCATAAATCCTGTCTTCTCCAAGCTGTTCACAGTGGACTTCTACTTTGAAGAGGTGCAGCGCCTGCGGTTCGAGGTCCATGACATTAGCAGCAATCACAATGGACTGAAGGAAGCAGATTTCCTGGGTGGTATGGAATGCACTCTTGGACAAGTAGGTTTTTTTGCCATGTTTTTTCCCTGGTTGTTGTTGTTTTGTTCTTATGTGAAATACTTCGCTTGTTATAAGATTGATAGATAAAGTTTGTCATTCATGACAAAATTCTTAATCAACTCTTTGAGCTAGATAATTAAGAATTTCTGTTGGTTTCACTTACTGTTGCAGTGCAGCTTCAGTCATCCAGTGCTTCAGAAAGTTAAGCATCAACAATYGGTTGGTTATATACAATATATACATTATATACCAATTATATACCAATAAAACCATAGGTTCATCATACCAGTGTTGCGAGACAGAGAGACTGCTGAGGAGAAAGTTATTGTCCCTAGCATTATATGGGATTTAAAGCAAGTTCCCAATCCAAGGAATTCTTACAAATATATTTTATTCCCATAGGCTAGTGCCTAGTGATGTGGCAAATAGAGAGATAGGGTTGGATTCGTTTCCCTGGCTCTCTGTCATCCTGAAGTTAGGTGTCTAGATCTAACTCTCAGTCTTCTAATTTCCATCTCTAGTCAGCAGAGAGAAACAGTTCCAGTAGGTGATTCATTCCACCTGAGACACCCAACATAGATTAGGATAAATTGCCTTCAGGAGATATCTGTCTCTCCCCATCAGTTATGAAGAGAGCCTGGATAGCTGTCTTGGAGAAGATACTGAGCTTTTTAGATGACAAAATGTAAAGGTGATCACTCCTACTGAAAGGATCGATATCTAGCAGTTGGCAGAACCAGGGCTGCAGCAAATTCCTGTATTGCTGACTGGTCGTGTGCTACAGTGTCCCAGGCATTACAGAGTTTATTTCTAACTGGCAGGCTTTGTGTTATGCAGCATCTTATGACACAGATCTCTGCTCTGGCAATGATAGCAATCCTGAAGCTGGTCTCACTTTCACTGAGCTGAGTTTAGATTGGCAGTTCACTCTGTGATTTTGGGTAGCTTGTGTGTCAATGAGGGAAGGCAGTGCTCTCATTTGGATTATCTTTTGGGTCCTTTCACATAAGCTTATAAGTTGAACGTGAGAAGATCCTGCAAAGCTTCCACTCTCTATTTATCACCTTCTTGTTCCTCCCTAACCCCGACACAACCCTTTTTTCCCTCTCCCTTCTGTTATTCAAGAAAAGTCAAAAACCTGGGGCCAAACATGCTGAAAGGGGAAAACTTTTACTCAAAGAAGGAACAAGAAATACATGCATTTCCTGACTTGAAAGCTCAACATGAAAGTATTGGTTCTTAGAATCCTTTGAATGCATAGTGAAGGCTGTTCTTTCTGACAGACTGCTTGTGGATGTTTTATAGCTGCAGTCAGTCAAAATAAGCTACTCCTATAATACCTAGAAGAGTGAGAAACATAGAAAAGAAATTCTTTTCTCTCATAATTGGCTTAAAAACAAAAGAAAATTTGTCCTTGCTGCTGCCTGTAGCAAAAGCATGTCTTTATAATGATTTGATCCCTATAAATAGTACACAGTTGGGTAGGTTGCAGTAATTTTAATGGTAACTAAGAAAAAATAAGAATGTGAAATCTGAAAGCACAACTGTAACCTTGCAGTCTCTGATAACATTACCACATTTTTTGGTGATAGTGTTTTTTCTCTCAGTTTTCCAGACCAGAAATATTCCTCAACTCATCTAAAAAAAAAAAAAAGTTAGCATTGGACTTGTCATCTAAGAAGAGCCAGCCTTGAGGAATCCAGAACTCAAAATCTTGCAACACAGATATACAGATATACTTTGTATATACAGAGCTTGCAGCCAAACTTGGAAACTCTATGTAATTACTGCATTTTTTACGATGTTAACAAAACCATGGCTTTTCTTGAGCTAATTTGGACATGAGCTTCTTTCTGTACATCAATTTCATGACTGAATAAAACAGTCTTCTCCCAAATGCTGAAATAAATGTGTCCCAAGAGAGCGAAAAGTATCTAGAGACACACTTCTCTTAGCTCTTTCAGCAGGAGCTTTATGTCTACTGCTTTTGCAGAGTCGAGCCGACTCTGGATCCATCTTTACCAGTAAGTCCTGCACTTAGCAACATTCTGGCATGCAATCCTAGTTATGCCTGCATGCAAACCGTAGAAGCATCAGCAGGCATTTCATGTGCTGCACCTCTGTACACAAGTAGAGTGAATGGTCATGGATGTAGACCTGCTGTGTGYAGTCAGGAAAAAGTCACTGTGCTAAATAGAGACATTTCCTGAAAGCAGTTAGGCTGAAAAGCTTTAAATAAACTAATGGCTTCTGACTCTTTAAGGGGTTGGGGGAAGTTGGTTGGTTTGTTTGTTTACTTTTAAGCATTTAAAGAGTCTTTTCCTTCGTTTGTGCTTCTGGAATCATTCAGTAGACCCGAGYACACAGAGTAACTGTGATCATTTGAACCAAGGGGCAGGAGAGTGGTTTATTTTTTTTTTTTTTTGCTGTCCATCAAAACCTAATGGAAAAAAAACTTGGACAAATGCTGTCAAAACATGAATAGTTTAATTGTCTGGATATTCAGCTAGAATGGGATAACTGCAAATTCAAGSCCTTTTATGCTTTTGTATTACTGCCTGTGTGTTTTCTGAGCCTCTTTATAGCTCTTTTTAAAAATTGTTCTATTTTATATSGCATTAAATTTATAATGCACTCAAAAGATATTATTTAGTACAGTAGGGGCTTAAACTTTCTAATACCCCAAGTTCACTTCTTAACCACACCAGAATTAAGTGTTAGGAGRTTCTCATAGAAATTTCTTTTGTCTGAAGTTTTTCCCAAACGTCTCAGGCTAATACCTAAGAACTCTCAAAAATGGTTCCAGTAAATAATCATTTTCTGACAAGTTTGTTTTGATTGAACAAAATTATGCTGCCAAGACAGTCAAGAGTCCTGTTTAAAAACCAGTGAAGTTGTTATTCCCTAAATGCTAAGAACAGAGCTCTGCAGTGGAGTAGTTTTTCTTCTATTACTTACTACAGTTGGTTTCTGCCAATTTGTGCTTCCATGTCCTGTTTTCCGTCTTTTAATTTAGAGAAATGTGAAAGTATTGTTACAATTCACAGCCCCTTTACTTGCTCAAAAAGCGTGGAACCTGTAGTGAAAACTCAGCAGAGAAATGTCTTGTGCTGTCAAGAGCCTGTTCCAGTATTATTTAAAGGATTAATGTTTCTCATAAATGCACATGTATAAAAGTCATATTGGAAAGACTTCTTCTCAGTAAGAAGTATTGTTGTCTGCATTAATACTTTTAATGGTATCATTAGCAGCTTATAGACTTGAAAATTCTGATTGTTCATTAATGAAGTTTCAGCCGTTGCAAATCTCCTTGCTTTTGTATTAAAGAAAGGTTAGAAGAGCCATGACTGCATTCAAATTATTTTAATCAAAATAGTCTGTCTGAGAATAGCTGTTCAATAGACTGCTTCTGTGGAGCAAAAGTTGGAATTTTCAAGGTTTCCAGATTCTTACATCTCATAAGATGTCTCTGTGCTCCATAGTTATCTGAATACCTTACTTGGTCTTTGATCTCCTCCGTATGAGGCTCCCCTATTCATTAGTGGGATGAATGRTAAATAGCATTTAGATAAAATATCATTTTCTACAGGGGTGACTCAGAGCACAAATGCACCATCCATGCAGCAGTCTCGCTTTCCCTCAGCATTTCCACACCTAAGTTCACAGAGAGCCCAAGGTTGCCTCTTGACATTGCAATGTGAACCCTAAAGCTGTGAGATTTTCTGTTATAGATGACTCTTGCCAACCAAAGYTAATGGAATTACTTGCACAATTTGCACTGCTTTGTTTTATATATGTTATCTTTTGTTTCAATTACTGTGGCAATCTAGAAAACTAATTTAAAATCTAGTTTTCTGTTGTAGAGAACTGTTTCTGTTCTGTTTCAGAGAGTTTTAATAATAGCTAATTGTAGAAAGGCTGCACACACTGCATACTAATTAAATCCAAAGATGTTTTATGCCATCAATAAGCTATTTCCTGTAATATTATTATTTCCTCTTGTGATATAGCTATCTTTTTTTCACAGTGTTCTGTTTTGATTTGACTACTTTCAGATACAGTTTTTTAACAAAGACAGGCAGAGCTGTAATTCAGATGTAAATAGGCTGCGAACTGATCAATGCCATAGGGATCAAAAGAAATCCTGAAGAGTGGTATGTTACAGAAAGGGTCGTGTATAAGAGAATGATGAGTAGAGTAGTCAGACTGGTACTACCAAGAGGAAACAAGAAATCCTCTGATCAGGAAGGAAGCCTTCTGTATTAAGGACATATATTCAGTATCTGTGAAGGACTGAACTTCTCCCCAAACCTTCATGAGTACAGGGTAAGGACCCTGATAGCCACCTGCTGCCTGGCCTCCCTTTGTGTTGAAATGCAGGATGTTTGAGGCACCTCTGAGACCTGTGTTACCATTTCTGGAAATAATTTGATGGGTTCAGAAGAAGCTAGGGGACAGACAGCAGGAGAGACACATGGCACTGTAAATCTTGCTTCATCCCAGAGCAAAATAAAGATAAATGTATGAATAAGAGGGGACAGTCTTTAGATTGTGAGCCAGAGCTACCTTTCTTCTTCTACCCTTGCTTAAACTGAATATCCACTTGCACAAGTGAAACATGAGTAATGTCCATCTGTTTACTTGTGGATATTTAGAAGTTTATATTTGACCTAAATGAGTTGGAGTGCCCTAATATTTTAAGTGACAAGCTTTAAGGTATATTTTTCAAATGTTAAATCTCTAAGCATTTGCCTACCATCTTTGGTTTGCCTGCATGAGTATGGTGTAAAATTAGCAATGCTTGTCAAGAAAGGAGCAGAGCTAAGATAAAAGATGCTTTACGTTAAGCCAAATATGTATTTTAGCACKTTTTGTGGAAAACAGTTGAGAGAGCTGTATCTTTAGGAAGCTCTGAAAAAAATCAACTGCAGTTTTATAAACACAGGTTGCTGTACAGTGCTGTACAGTCTGGACTTGTGTTTGTATCACTTCTTTGGTTTGAGAACAGCATGGTACCATGAACTAAAAATGATCCCAATCTGTAACATTTACACAGTGGGCAGGAAGCTATATTGCATACCCCTTTACATGCCACTGAGACTATTGGCCCAATGTTTGCTGCTGTAAAAATCAGAGAGCCGTGGTTTATATGTCACAAAAGCCAGGTGTCACGGTGCATAAATCAAAAAAGAGCTGTGGCCATAATCCGTGGAGGTTTCGGTCATTATTTATAGGAGGTCTGTGTTAGCTGAAATGAATCATAGATCCTTCATTGTCATTGTCAAAAGGTCCTGGGAAATGTCCCTGGCAACACAGAGATCATCTTTTAGCAATAACTTATGATTTAAAATGGAGCAAAAATTTCTGAGACATACAGTGATTGCAGGAACACTTTCAGAAGCCTTTAGCAAAACAATATACTGACATTGTGTCTGTGTATGACTAGATATTACATATGCCTATTTAATTCAAGCAAAGAAATTAGAACAAACGTTTTCTGACACTAGAAAAATATGGAATAGGGCCTCCTGCTCATATATCATACTGAGAGGCCGTGTTTGGTTTGAYAGCTTTAGGCAGTGCAGGTTTCACAAGGTGTCACCCTGCGCAGGAGGCCCAGTACTGAGTTCTGCTCTCTGTATTGACGATGGCAGATGCTTCAAGGGCTCATTGCTTAGGACGAGAACTTGGTTGTTGGCAACCAGGACTCAAATGCTTTTTACAGTGATGTTCAGCTACACAATGAACATGATATGTAAATGATAGCAATTTCTGAAAACTTGGCTGCTATAGCCACTGAGAGCTGCTTTTTGTACAAGGCACAAACAAAAAGGGTCATATACTGCTAGAAAAAAAAAAAATTCCTTGTCAATTATCACAATGATAGTGATAACTGACAAGGATAAGCTTATCCCAAGTTACTAATTGCCGTTTGAAGCAATGATGTTGGCACATTGCTGCCAGATGGAAGATTCCTTTTACTGGCCACTTAATTAACAATCATTAGGCCTTTGTCCACCAACACATGTTTATTCATAGAGAGTGCTCACTGTGTCACCGTGATGCTGATGGCTTAGGGGACTGGCCTTATTACTGTGCCTTAGCAATGGCAGCTGTCAGGGAACAATAAGGACTGGCTGCCCTGAAAAGGAAAGTGAGAATTGAGGAGAGCAGTTTGAGGTCTGGAAAACCTGGTCAAAAGGAAAAGAGAATGAAGTTGGGTAATGTCGTCTACAGACAACTCTCCAAAGATGGTATTGGTCTTGAGATGAATGATTGCCTAAAAGACAAAGACATTATTTATCTTATTTATAGTGGATTAGACAGAAATAACAGTCTTAAATTGCAGAGAATAAGATTAGCTGTTAGGAAAATATACCTACAGTAAATATAACAAATAACATAATAATTTGAAATAACCAGAGGAGGATGTTTCTCTCTGCCTTTGAAGAACTTTGCCTTTAGAACTGATTAAAGACACGTCTGTCCTRAATGACCCTGCCTTAAGCCTAGGAACTGGACAAGAGGATTCTCAATCAAGTCCTGTGATCTATGAAAGGTGGACACAGGGAGGAATGACCAGGAGCTTTACTCAAAAGCACTATGAAAGGAACAAAATCTGCATGAGCTGTGAAGATTCCCTAATTTTCAGAAGACATTAAAGACATGTCTCTGTCCATTCCAGGTTTGGAGGAGACTCTTCTGGCAGGGATCTGAGCATGGCAGCATGTGAAGCTTGTGGTGCTTCACTGGATAGGTTATTAAATACCTGTTAGGTCTGACAGAAATATGTTGATTCTGCTTGGGGAAGTAGGAAAAATAACCTCCTTGAAGACCTTGCTTGTCCCCTGCCATGTTCAAGTGATCCACTGTAGCCTCCTTGCTCAGATGAAGCAAAACAAGATCACATTTGGGCTTTTGCCATTGTAGTTTATGGTGTCAAATTCCTTCTCTGAGATGWTGCAAGGCTCGAATTTATGTCAGAACTGTGTTTTCTCTCCTGCCTCCTAGCAGCTTGTTGATAATGCCCATGATTYTGCGTTGCTGTGATTTTGCAGTGCTATGATTTTGACCATTACGTACTGATTTGGCTTATCATTAAGGTGCACGTAACACCCAGGAGTCTAATGAAGTGTTTGGAGTTGTTCTTTACACTGTATGATTGCCTCTCTTTTACAATGAATATTTCTGTGTATTTTGCCAAAGCCATAGTTTTGCATCTGTTTGTGGACCACTTTATTTGAGGTATTACATTTCAGCCATCTGAGTGAAGCTGTCCTGGTAATGTTAGATGAAGGAAAGGGCTGATTGTAGCATAGAAGGCAAGTGCCAGAGTTTGGGGTTCTTCCCTAGGGCAGGAACAATCGTTTCTTCAGTGTCGGCTCAGCACCTACCTCAACATGATCCTGCTCCAATGCTGTGACATTGCAAGTARTTTTAGTTGGCAATGTAAGCTGTATTTGGAGGTACCTCTACATCTGTTGATGCTTTGGAGTTTTCCAATAAATAGCATTTTAATATGTCGTAAACTTTACCAGCCTGAAGGATCTGAGATACTGGTGCATGAACTGTAGCTTGCTGATTATGAAATACTGAAAGCTTTTTTCCTACCCTATATTTTTCTAATATTTTTACAAGTCTGGTTTTAAAGGTTTACTGTGGAAATGTAACCATCATTGTGACAAGAAATAGGTTTTTTTGTCATTATAGCTCTGATAACATTTATTTGAGGTACATTTGTAAATGTTAATAGGCAAGTTTATTTGCAACGTTGTGTTCCAGCTGAGGTGGTAAGAAAGGAGACTAATTTAGAACTAAAAGTAAGGGTTGGATTGCTTGTGTCTCTTCTGATTTTAGAGTTGTTGTGTTTTTAAAACAAAATAAATTCTTTCTGTTCAGTTCAGATTTTGATTTCCTCAGATCAAGGCTGTACCTTGATACAAAAAAAAAAAAAAAAAAAAAAAAAAAAAAAAAAAAAAAAAAAAAAAAAGACAATATAACATTGAAATCATAATAAGTCATGTATTTACTACAGCTTCTAATTTTTCCCAATTGTTTTGATTTTTGTGCAGATTGTTTCTCAGAGGAAACTCTCCAAGTCCTTACTCAAACATGGGAACACAGCAGGGAAATCATCTATAACAGTAAGCCAATGCTAAATACACTGTTTTTTCCTTTTATTTAAAAACATCTAGTGTGGATTATTCTGCATAAAAGCCTCTTGCTAAGTTACCAGCACAACCCTTAATTGAGAAATGCATTTASATTGTTTATTTAAAAGATTCCTTTACTGTTTCTGACAAATATTTATGATAAAAGAATGTAACAAATAATGCATGTCTTTTTACAAAAGCCATAGTATTTACTAATTTTAAGGCACTTTGCTGAAAGCACTAATGTTGTTCTGCTTGATTTTATTTAAAGCTCTAGTGTTCACTTCTATCCATTTTGACATGCTTGGTTCTGAATTTAAGATGTTGCATGTGAACCACTCACCTTATTCCTCATGAAATTAAATGCAAATTTTATATGGTCACTGTTAGAAAGRTGAAGGCATCTTGTGTTTCAAGGCCTTTGGACTCTTTTCCACTTCCTTAAAAAACATCGGAAACCATCCTGCCCCAAAATAGCAACAAAAAATGCAGAATTGCAATGGGATTACGTATTTTATTTTGAATTGGATGCATTCTAAAATCTGAAAATTAAATTAAAACATCTCTTTCCTGGCTTGTTGGGATATCATGCTTTTCTGCACTGAATCTAGCTTGGTTGTGACGTTTGCAGCTCTTCACTAAGACAGTGGCTGTAATAAAACACGTTACTGCAGGACTGTCTGCTGTTTGCCTGATGGGGTTAAAAAAGTTTTTTTACCCTTCATATGCAATTAGCCAAATGGGTTTCTCTTTGTTTGACTGTTTTTGTTTGKTTGGTTGGTTGGGGTTTTTTTCTTGCCTTCTGAAGCATTAGAGATTGGACATAGCCAGGGAAGACACAGCAGACTGTAAGAAGCAATACTCTGGGGAGCCCAGGGCATTTTGTTTCCTAGCTCTCTTCCTTAATGCCCGGCTGAGAAGTGATTTGCTCAATGTGCAAGGTGAAACCCATTCTTGGTTTGGCTTTAGAAAAGAATTCCCCTTTATTCAGACTGAGCAGAACCATGAAAGACTTTTGCTCACTAAATAAGCGATGCGTTTTGCCGGCAGGGATTATAAGGGCATATTTCAATTCCCCAGCCCCAGTCTGGACRCTCCTCTTGTTCTGCCAGGGACACTAAGCATCTAGTCTTGTGAAAGCGTGAATGGTTTAGTTCAACTGAAATGATTGGACTTGCTAGCAGAGTGTTCTGGAAACAAAATTAATGAACTGAGATATACAGAGGATGAGAGAAATAGTCCCTGCTGGCCTAACACGGGCTGATAACCATAAAACATAGACCATAGTTACCTGTTTGGGCTTCTAGACAGCGGTACTGCAAAGCAGGTAGACTTTACACAAGCAAGAGAAAAATGAACTCAAGCAAAAATAACTCTGTGAAAAGCTTACTCTCTCAAGAGAATAAATCAAAAAGGATCAGTTTTCATTATTTCTGGTCCCAGGGCACATAGGTGCCTGTCAAATGTTGAATTTACAAATATCAGTTTCCTAACTTGTTTAGCTTATTGAATTATGAATTTTACCCAGGATTTTGAAAGTGCCTTTCTCAGAATAGTTTTCTGTAGTTTTATTGTGCCTGTGGCTGTGGAATGTCTCATCAATACATTTTTATTATGTGCTGATGGGATAAAAAACAATCCCTTGCAGCCTCTCCAGATAGAAGCCTGGCAGCCTTTACAAGAGAGGCATCATTATTTTCAGTTAAACATATTTGTGAACCTGGGTGTGCAAATCTGAGCAYACTGGCAGTGATTCCTAGCATGTGATCCTTTAAGCTGCCAGATAACATGGAAGCAAAACGTTTTGTCAGACTCCATGGGCTGTATTTTCAGCCAGCTCACACTTACCTGGAGCTTGTAAAGCCYAGGTACATATTGGTACATACTGTGACTGGACAGTGATGCCCAGGGAGGCATTTGTGGGTGTACACGGCTACAGGTGAACTTTTTGCAGCAGGRAATACCAGTTTATTGCTGTGGGCCTAAGCTAGTTTCTCATAAAAAAGAAAAGAAAAAAAAAAGACAGAAATGCCCTAAAAATCYCCAAAGATACTGTTTATTGAAGCTGCAGACTGCCTGGAAGTGATTGTGGGCATGATACAGCTGTGTTCTTTGGGGTGATTTAGTCTGTGGGGAGGATACTTGCAATAGGAAATGGTTTTATAACTGCCAAATAGAATAAGCTGTGGTTTGTTTCAAAGACCATTTTTCGGCTAAATAGCCCTATTTGGTTAATACTTCCTCTCTACTGATGTGTTTCAGTGGCCAGTAGGGAGGGTATTTTGCTGGTTTGTTTTTGGCTTGGTTTGGTTTTAATCAAAATCATAGAGCACAGTGACTGACATAATTATCAGCATAGCTCAAGACCACTGAAAGAACTACAGTAAATTATTTCAGCATCACTGTTACAAATGAATCTACAGTGAGGGTTTTGCCACTGTATTGCAGTCGAACAGCACCAGGAGAACCCTCCTACTGTAGATCTATGTGTTATAGCAGCTAGTGACAGGTGACTTCACTTCTCTTTCTATTTAGCATGCCAAATGACACTGAAATGGTGTAGGAGTAGCCTAAGTTTCAGGTCCAAATAACACCACTCCTGTATGGCTTTTTTAATCCCTTAGAYATAGTCAGACTGTGTTGAATTCTCTAGTGTCCTATCTGAGGATAAGTACGTGGTCAGGAGAAAGGGCTCAATGGTAGACGTTGATGTCTGTCAATTAACAACTGATTGCCAGGGTATAAATGTGTCATCAGATGTGATTCAGATTTGGAGCCTTAACAAGTTGCTGCCCATTAACTGAGCAGTGGATTAACTGAACACTTAGTCCTTCATGATTGCAAGGAGAAGCCTCTTACCTCGTATCACACTTCAGTTTCCTAATGGGGTCTCCAGTCTTCCCAATGTTAAATGCCATCTTTTTCCCTCTTCGCTATACCATGCAAAACTTAAATGGAGTTTTCCATTTAGGTGATTGCTGAAGAATTATCTGGCAATGATGACTACGTTGAACTTTCTTTCAGTGCACGGAAATTGGATGATAAGGTAAGCTGCTTGATATTAACCTTGGTGGAAGATATAGGAATGCTTGCAAATAGAGTTTGATGAGCTTTTCCCCCCATGGATTTTTTTTTTTTTTGGCCTGTTATTAAACACATCAGAGATTTCAGACCAGTGTTCACAGTGAGGCTTTCCTCAACCTGTGAAGTAATTAAAATAAACTCAAAGGAATCTAATTAAAACCAGGACAATTTAATTTTTTAAAATGCCACAGATGAGAAGTGCTTATTTAAGTGGGCTTTCTATAAGTAGTCAGAGATATTATAGTTGAAGTAAGCATCTTAGAATAAAGCTGGAAAACTTGCTAACAGCTTGAGACGTGTTTTTCATTCAACAAAATATAGCCTGAAAATGACAAAAAGACCACTCTATATCTGTTTAATATTTTTTCTCCTATTAATAAAAGTCCTTGCATTGTATCTAACTACTTTTCAATTTAAGAAATGTTTCTTTCTGAAGATATTATCTGTTGTTACTTAGCAAAATTCATATAATAAGGACCTCTAGCAACTTTTAGCCCAAGAAATCGAGATGACTTTGCTTGTCAAAGGAACACCTGCTGTTATTTTAGTGTTATAGAAGGCACATAATTATKTGAGGTAATCTGGGGAATATCTTTGTAATTAATTGCAGTCATAAAGCCATGACCATCTTCTAGATAATAGAGCTTTACATGTAATTGAAAATCAGATGATTAATATTGCACTGAAGTACAGTATCTGCCATTAGTCTATAGTCCCCTCCTGCATGTGAAGCTGACTGTAATTTGACAGAGATGGTAACGCTGTGCAAAACTTTGTGGCAAGAACATTCAGATGCTCTAAACTTGTGCTGACATGTGATAGCTTAATCAAATCCCTCAGTGCTTTTGGAAACATTCATTAGGTTTTCAAAATGAGGCCATAACTGATGAATAGMATTTGCAGTTGAAACTCCCAGAAATACTCAGGGAAGCAGAAAGTGATTACTAGAGCAGGAATGTATTTTGAACATACAGGTAAACAACACTGCTGTGCTCAGCTTCGTTAATGGTCATAAATGATCAGGAACTCAATTTGTTTTTTATCTGAAAGATAAAGTACCCCTTCATTTAGAGATGCTGCATTCTTAGTGACTCCAATCACGGCATTTTTTTTAGATGTGAAAAAGTAGATTTAGTAAGTTCTGCATGGACAGCCATTTTCAGACTTGGATTTCTCAAGCTGCATATGTCTGTTTTCCTGATCCACATGTTGCCACATCTAGAAAAAGGAAAGGAAATGTGCAACATGAGATGTCACTGGGGCCTTTCTTTGCCATAGGTATAAATGCATTCCGGTGTAAATACTTGCTTATAGCTCTTGTTGATATTAAGTAAAAGGATACTTCTAGAATATGCATCTGCACTGGGACAGGGCTGTCCGGGCTATAGCTGTAGAGAGGTGCTGAAACACATTTCTTTAGGGAGTTGAAACACATTCATATTTGGAGATAAATTAGGGAGTATGGTTATGAAACATGACAAGTGCCTTGTGACTCTTGCCGTTTTTACATATTTGGTCTAGGTGGGCTTCATCTAATAAACATTTCCTGGATAGGTCTCTGTGCAACCCAGGCAGTGACTCACCATGTGTTATGTGAGTCAAATATCCTAGCCTCAGTTGACAAAAATTAACCAAGGTCTGTTAGATTTGAAAGAGGTCTGTCAAAATACYTAAAATGAATTTTGACATCAGTGGTCTCAAGGGACTATTAGTAATTATTGTTAGTAGGGCTTGAAAATACTTGAATTGCATAGTTCAACCTTTGGTAAAAAAGAGTGAGTGCTTTCATGTCACACAAAGGTCCAAAAAACCCATCAGAGAACTAAGAAGAGCCAGACTTCTGAAATCTTAAGTACAGCTTTGCCTGTCTTCCTACCCAGAGTGGCAAAGGGCTGAGTAGAGAGAAGGTGATATCAGAGAAGCAGAGCGAGGTCTGTAGCTGCCCTGGGGTCTCCCGCAGGAAGGAGGGAGCCTGTGCGAGCAATCATTGAGGCAATCCTGCCRGATCATTCCTGCAACCCAGGATCACCTTGGTATTCACAAGGGTTCCAAGTTAGGCAATAGGGTTGCACTGGGGAGGGCAGAAAACAAGCTGAATCCTAATCCCTCACAATTATTGGATAAAGAAGTTGGATGTCTCTGAAGAAGACAAGTTTTGTTTCCCATCCATACCATCAGTGATGTCTTGAAAGGACAAGCATCGTCTTCCTCCATGCCTCAAAGGAAAACTCTTTGAATGGGGGTGCTGGATTATGGTCCTTGAATAGATGAGCTTTCTTCTGCTCTGAATATGGTACCTGTGCTCCAATATAGGGATATGTTTCTAAATACAGCCCACTGGCAATAATTACTATTGACCACTCTGCTCCTTGGCCTCCCGGGACTGAGGAGTTGGGTGTTCCCCAGTCGGTGTGCAAGCAGCTTTGAAGAATGGAGAGGAGGTGCTGTGAAGAACAGAACTGTCCATCAGTAGTGTAGTGGCTCTAACTAGTGAGCTCTAACTATGTCATTCCCCTAAAAATACTATTTTTTAGATAGTGTATATTAAAATAAATATCCTCAGTGATGAAAAAAAAAAATGTAAGCAACACAATTTTGGCAGATTCAAGAAAATTTGTTACTGTAATTTAACAGGCAGTGCAGGTTTGCTTGCTTCTCTATTACAGCCTATAAAAATACCAGAGATGTAGAGAAGCTATAAAACAAGGAAATCCTACTAGATTTTTTGCTTTAAGATATGGCTGAAGATTACTGAAAGGTCACAGGTATGCAAGTTTCTTTTGCTTAACTAAATTTGCAGACATAAAGGTTGTATTTTTATTGTGGTGCTTGACTGGAAGGTGCAACCACCTTATCATATTTTRTTGAAGCCTTGCAGCTCAGATAATGCATCTTTGTTTCAAGAGATCCACTGAGAACACTTCATAGTGGGACAATAACTTTTGGAAAAGTTGTATCGCATTAATAGCTATATCGTAATTACAACAACAAGCAGCTATGTTTTTATGATAGCTGTAATAAATCTTGAGTACTGAGGCAGGCAAATGGCTCTTCTTGTTCTAAGAAAAGTTCTTATCACAAATCGGAAAAGATTCTCCAGCAAATGTCTAGAAAATATACCACATTGTTTTATATTTTCCACGTACAGAAGTACTAAAAAAAAAAAATCCATGAACATTGGACTTTACTATTTGGAAARCTTCAAAATTGATTAGTGATTTTTGGCTGCTTCAGCCCCTTTATTAGAGACTTTTGATTAGACCTCCAAACAGATTTTTAAGAAGTGTTGTGTTCTGAAAATGAAAGCACTAAAAGAGATGTCTAGCTGACTGGTCAGAAACTGAGGTGTTTAATTTTTTTAATTTTAGCTGTTCACTTAAGTTAATACTGTGCAACTGCTGCACAAACTGAAAGAACAATGCTCATTAACTGGTAAATGTATTACATTAATCATTTAAATGTTATTAAAATATCAAAACATTGAAAGTTTATTGCTACTATTCTTTCAGAAGATGTTCTTATGAAATAAAACAAAGCTAGGTTCAGAATAATGATCAAAAAAAGTCTCAAAAGCATTAGTAACTATGAAATAAACTGTTTCTTAAGCATATCGATTTAGAGTTGTTATGAGGCATCTTTAATGTTGAACAACTTTTGGTTTGTATTTCTGAAAAGCAGAGGATATTTTACATTGAAGGGGAAGCTGTAAGCCAATATCCAGAGTTAAAACCTTTCTCTTTAGTTGGCATTGCTTTGGTTATTAAATCCCCATATTAAAAATTAGCTCACTTGTACTGATGTTTGTTGTTTTTGTTTTCATGATATTCAACTGAGATTGAGACTATAACAGAGTGCAAACCACTRAAGTTTACTTCGAGTTTTCTTACACAAAATGTCGGTTTCCTTTCTGAATTTTAAGTCCTGCAGAGGAAATTCTCTGGATGTATCATTCTGGGGTGTTTTCTTTTAGATAGTTTTCTGAATTATAATTGAGTTTACTAAAGAATCTATTAACACAGAACTTTAAAAAAGGAGTTTGTGAGTCTGAAGAGGCAGCTCAATCTATTCTAACACTATGCACTCCAGGGTTTGGTATCTCCAGTGGAATTAGGTCCCCCTCTCTCTGCTTGGCCTGTCGGCTGTGTGGGAGTCTGGCAGAATTAGCAGCCAAAGCCCCCTGCACACCGTCAGTGTGAGGAGCTGAGTGGAGCCCAGATGCTAAAGCTGCGTAAGGGCAATCTCCTGCCTTGCACATCCTGCTGGATTCTGTGCTGACTCTTCATTCTTCCATTAAATACATTACAGCCCTGTAGTTGGAACAAAGGGACAAACATACTACTGAGTTTTCTGTAGCAGGAAAAGAAATGGATCATTTATAAAGCAACACTCTGAGCACTGCAACATTGATGAGTCTCATCCTTGGGGCTTGTGGAAGACCTTATGTTGTTTGAGTCGTGCCCAAGACGGTGTGGAGTCTTCCTGCCTTCCCCAGGCATTCAGATTCTATGTCTCTTTTCAAAGGCCTGATCTCTTTGGTTGCTATTTGCATTTGTGGAACAGTGACCATGCCTCACGACATATTCAACCAAACTGATGTACCCAGACATTGGCAAAGAGATTATCCAAAGTTTTTCCCCTCTCCAGAGCAATCCAGTTAGCCAAACAGGTATGGAGGGCAGGAAGAAATGAGCTAGGTGAATGAAGGGGCTAAAATGCAGGAACCAAGCCTGGGCATAAGACCAGAAAAGGAATTAAAACATGAAAAGGAACTAAAATATCAGTTCTGCTTGCCATGTTAGCATAGCCAGACTGAGAACAACAGCAGCACTGTCAAAGTCCTTGTGGAATAAGGATGAAATATTGCTGAGGAACACTAGGAGGTCCCTCTGAAATCACACTTGGGTTTCCTTTTTCATTAGCAACCAGGGAAGCACAGATTCAGTGTGCCTGAAAAGTTCAAAATCTTCAGAGTAACTTGTTCTGTATTTTATTTTAGGATTTTTTCAGCAAATCTGATCCTTTTCTGGAGATTTTCCGGATGAACGATGATGCAACGCAGCAGCTTGTCCACAGGACTGAGGTAAGGAATTGCCCTGGATTTGCTTTCCAAGGACACGTGAGTGGGCTGTCATGAGGTATAAGGTTTGCTTTCTCTGTCACAACAGGCATTGCATGTACCTATGTTAAACAAAACTTTTATGTCTTGGGTATTTATTGACTAATGGGCATCAGGTCTTGACTTACACAAGAGAGAGGGAGAGTGATACTGAAGCSAAACTTTAATTAAACTGGCAGAAAATTCTCCAATTTTAAGGAATTTTTATATATTATATTTAGCCCAAGTCATATTGCAGATGATATGATATTTTCCCATTAATACTGTATTCTGTCAGCTCTGTCTCCTTGTTGCCAATCATCAAAAGGTTTGTAATTTAGGTGCTTTTTATTTGTTTCCCATGCCATAATTTCATTATTGCCTGCATGTCAATGACTGCTGCTGTCTTAAAAGAGCAGCATTTAGGAGTATAGGATCAGCTACAGCAGGTATACAGGGGTATCTTTCTGTCTGATACAGATCCTTTGAAATCTTCCCGACAAGTAAGACCCCATCCCTGAACAGATGCACATCCCCATTGCCTAATGCATCTGTGTCCTTTCCATATTTTCCAGTTCAGAGAGGTATTCCACTGCCTTCTGTTCATGAATTACTCCCAATCTGAGGTGTGGCAGTGCTGGGACAGTCACTGTAGTGCGACAGATCTGTGCACAGATCCATTCCCTGCATGTGCTTCTTCCTGGAGCTTTCTGAAGCAGATATGTTGAAAACTGCAGGCCACTCCAGGGCAGATACCCCGTGCATGTCATTCTGCAAACCTCCCGCTGAGCTCTACCTTTTTCCTTTTCCTCTTTCCTGGGAGCGTATTGAAAATCATGGCTTTTGATGAATACTGTTCAGAGATATGCAAATGTTAAGGGCTTTCCTTTTTTTTTTTTTTTTTTTTTTTTCCTCCTCACTCCTAGGTTGTGATGAATAACTTAAATCCAGCATGGAAGACTTTTAAAGTGTCTGTAAATTCTCTGTGCAGTGGAGACCAGGACCGCAGACTGAAGGTCAGAAGGTGTTCCTGCAGTTTGAATAGTTTTACTTCTAAGATACAAAACTTGGCTTCTGTTTTTGATTTAAAGATCGCTATTCTGTAGTGCTGTCTTTGACAGAAATGATGATCATACAGCAGTTTATGATTACCACAATCAAACTGTGATGCACAGAAGTGGGTTCAGTAAAGTGAAAAAAATGATGGGGCTGTTTGTGCCAATCAGTTGGGTAATTTAAACCCAGCATCATTGAATTGGTGAAAGTGTACTCAAGGCAAGTGGCAAACTTGCCACCATTTTCACTGCTGGTTCCTTGCTTTTATGTCCAGACTTCCTCTGTAAGAAAAATACTGAATTATGAGGTCTGTTTTTATATATGAAGAATGGATGGCCACAGAAACATGTCACAGTAACAACATCGTTATTAGCCAGCTGATGGTTGGGCATGTGTAGAAAAATCTGTCTTCCTCTGGCTTATGAAAATCAAGCAGCTCTGGCTGCTTAAATCAAGGCAGAACCTGATATTTCAGATCTTCTAATCAGGTTTAAGTTTAAAACTAAATTAAAGAATGTTAAAAAAAGAGCACTGTCCCCAACCTCTGTTCAGCTTTTCAGATCTATTGAAAAGATTTTGGGCCCCCAGACTGGTCTTTTTTTTCTCCTGTGATCTAAATGAATTGGCTATTTTTTTTTCTTTTCCCTGCAAATCTCTCTTCCTGTATCATTATAGCTTCATAATGTTCTGTATTATTATTTTTCACATATTATTTTTCTATATTCATTATTTTTCACAAAATGACACGTTTCTGTCTGGAACACATTGCAGTGCCACAAATGGGTGGAAAAGGAGCAAGGAGTTACGAACACTAGTTGTGATGACTCTCATTTATTGGCTTTGCAAAATCAGCACAGTTACCAAACAGCAGTGATGCAGCCACAGTGTTTGTGTATGTACTTTTTTATGGTAGAGTAGATACACCAGGAATGAAAACGTGTCTCTCTTTTTGTGTCTCGTTTTGCATTTCTGAGCAATCATTAAGTGGTGGGGTGAAGAGTCTAAGGTAAAAAGAAGCACTGAAAGAGTGAGGAAGGTTGAGACAAAGATGAAAAAAGGTAGCAAGGAAAAATAAGGGTTGAAGTGGATGGAACAGAGGGTGGTTAGGAGACCCAAAAAAGTATTTGTGATAGATGCATCTGAGAGATTGCAAGGAAGCTGAGAACTGAAGTGATGCAAGGAAACTCAAGTAAAACATCTTTGCATCTGTCCCTGAGGTGGTAAATGGCCAAGCCAGTTGTGTTTGGCATTTTCAGTGACATTGATACTGTCATAGGAGACGAAATAGAGAATGAGCACAGGGAAAAAGCTTTTCCTCCATTTTACAAGGCAAGTGCAATGAACAATATTGACTAAAGAGGACTTGTAATGCAAATGAAGAAATGTGGAGGAGTTAGTTATTGTAGCATATATAGGATGAGAGTAATGTGAAGTGTCAGGATAATGACTGTTATCCTGGGGGGTTGTGATTTTAAAAATTTCCTGGGTAGATTAAATATCAGTGAGTTTGGTTGCCTAAAACACAGAAGACAAGCAAATCACCCTATGTTGTAAAAGCAATGTAAATCTTCCAGAGAGGGGGAAAAAGGAAAAAGAGAAAAAAAATAAATAAAAGAAAGAAAGAAAGCATCTCTGCAGAGGTAGCAAAATGACAGACTCAACGGATGGTCCAGGACGATGAGTGTTTGGTGCCTCTGGAGACCGGGCTCTTGCTTTATGACAAAGTGAAGTGGTAGCTCTGGAGAAAGAGCGGAGCCTGCTGGTTTGCATATTGAGCTCACATTGTAGCTCAGGCAGAGCCGGGAGCTGAGCTTTTTCTTATGAATGGAGTGGACCATGAAAGGGAGAACAAGCAATTCTTGTTTGCTATAGTCTGAAGCGACTGTTTGGGTGTTTAGATGTGGGTGACGAGGCTAAAGCAGCAGGTGGGAGTATTAAATCTACTGCAGCATTCTGCRAGAATGAGTGGTGGTCAAAAGCTGCAGATGTCAAAATGCTAAAGAGCCTGGCATACTCAAAATGGGAGATGCTGAGAGACTGGAGAACGGATGTAATGTAACAGTCTCTTTATCCGTCTTCTACAGCAAAGCTGCTCTCAGTGCATGTGCCTTATGCAAGCAGATGCAGAAAGCAGCACCCTGCCTTTACCTGGGCACAAGATCCCAGGCCACCTTGCCCAGCTTATATCCCACAGTCACTTAGAGCATCAGCACTCAGCTGTGGCTGCACTTAGAGTTTAAGCCAACTTTTTAAGCATGGTCTCACAGTAACCTGGGACTAGACTTTGGTTTGAGGCTGAAGATGGCCATACTTTTGCTGCTCAAATGAGAACCCAAGTTGGCACAGAGCTGCTTTCACCACACTGTGTAGATGTGGCCTCTTAGATCACTTTGGCTTTCAAGAAGAAATGCAAAGGAAATGTGATGTTTAGAAATGTGATGTCTACAACATGAGGGCAGGTGTCAAATCCATGAGGGAAGAGGACTGTGGTTCTGGAGAGGGTGCCATGTTTTAACCTCTTTGAGACTGAGGTGAGAAGGTATCGGAAAAAAACTGCTGGTGTTTAACATTAGGCATAACATGGATTTGGGAATAATGGAGGAAGGCCTTTGGGTTATGAGCAGAGACAGCAGTTGAATTTATGTCTGCAGATGATACTGCTAAAAGATAAGGTAAAGAGCGAAAAGTCAGGAGGAAGAAGAATAGTTCATTGAGACTATCTGTAGAGAAGAAAAGGGAAAACTGAGGGAAAACTYAGAGGAAAGGGCTTAAGGAAAGAGAAAAGCATCAGGAAGAAATGGACTTTATGATCCTATTAWTTTTGAAAATTGTGTGTTTGTGAAAATTTCTTCTTTTTTTTTCAAAGTGTATGTGTTTTCATTTGGGTATGCAAGTGCTCATGGGCCCTGACTTAGGTTTTTGAGTATTTGTCCCAAGATTATGTTTAGACATTCACAGAAAAGCTCTTATTTGTGGAATATGCACCAGGTCACTAATGAGCACAGAAATAATTTCAAATTAATTATAATATAAAATAAGAATGAAACTTGAAGCCTCTTTAAAAGTCAGTCTCCTTAGCCCTTTTGGTGCTTGAAGATGAGGTTACTGTTATAAAGCAGCCCCTCAAATCAGCTGTGTCTAACAGATAGTGCTTTTCAGATGGCAATTCTGTTTGTCTTCTGGGTGGACTATAGCTTACGAATTTGATGGCAGCAAGAAGAGAAGAATGGCAATTATAAGATTTAGAGAAGTGAAGGGTTTAGCACTATATAAATGTTTATACTTTGATTTACATTGACTAAGCCTTCTGTTCTTCAGGCTACCGTATTTTTGAAGATCTGACTTTAAATTCTTTGTTTCATTTCATAAAGTATACAGCAATATGTTGCTGTTAAGCACTGGAAGAATTCCCTGAGCAGTATTCAATGTGGAGCCTTTTAGTGCACTCCAGCTGCCTTGCTGAGCACCAGCTTCTCACCAGGATTGTCTAATCACTGCACAGTAATCCCCTGAGCCTGGGTGATTTGGTGACTGTACCAACTGTTTCTTTTTAACATACTCTAAAAACATAACCTAAGTTAAGGTTTTAAGAGGCAGCAGGGATGCTTGGAGGGAATATGTCACTGTGTGTAAATTCTGCAAAGGAGGGAAGTCCTTCTTAGTAGCAGACACGTTGCACTGATGGCCTCCCTGGGCTCTGTCCACACTCTGCAGGCTCTTTGGAGCTCCAGACTCTTGGCCTTTCTTCTCTGCCACTGCAATTACATGTGTTCTGAGCTCAGTGGTTTGATTTATGTTATGAGGAGGGGGGACTAACATTGCAAAAATACACTAAAACAATACAGCTTAACTTACATAATATACTTAAGTTACAGAAATTTGCCCTTTGGTGAGTATTGCACCGAAAGCAGCCTTTGTGCTCTCTGAGCTTTTGAAACCTTCCAGTTAAAAATGTCTGTTTAAAAAGATGAGATGTGCAAGGTCACTAAAATCAAAGCAACCAGCAATTAGGGTCTCCCTTAAAAAGTCTTTGCCAGCATCCCTTACAAGGTCTGTAAATTTGAATTCCTTGTGGGCTTTTAAAAAAAATCYGACTTTGCTTTATTTAACTGTGGTGCAGAGAGCAGTTATTTTTTGTTCCTCTCAGGATGTCTTGTAAAACTTCACTGCAATTATTTCTGCTCTTGGTTTTATTATAAAAATGATGCCTTGTGTTTATGAACCTGTGCTTTTCTTCTTGGCACTGAAGCCACCTGAGAAGCTTGGTCACACTTCAGTGCCAGTCATAACTTCATTCAATGCTAACAGTACCAAGTTTATATATGTTGAAGGCTTCAGCCTTTCTGATATGTAAATACTAGCTTCAGTTCACATAGGTTATTACTGAAAAAACTGCATGGGGGCTATAATGTGTTATCCATCTCTTCTAGTAGTTGTAGGTTCTTGTTTAAGAGGAATTGTGGTAATATACATGAAAAAATAGATGTTATAATTATTTAGTGTAATACTTGATGAATAAACAAGTAAAAAGGTGCTGTAGAGGTACAGACTGTGTGGTACAAATGACTTAGGGTAAGAATGTAATCTGTGGAGACTGTACAGAAAACTTCACTGAAAGAAATTTGCTCTGAAGGAAAAAATGGGGGAAAATGGAAGAAAAAGTTACTTACAGATGAAATAGCAGAAGAAACTGCAAAAGGAAGTTCTTGTCATGTCTATTGGAACATTCTCTCTATCCCTCTCCAGTACAGGGAAAATTTTTGAAAGAAAAATGTACATTAGGCACTTTGCTGCTGTTCAAAAGCTTCTCCTGTATGTTGGGATGGTGTCAGTGTGTCAATATGTTTATTATTGCTGCATCTCTGCCTATAGCAGATTACARAACACGGTCCTGATCCTCCTGATGCTTATTCACATACACACAGCTCTGTCTGGAACAGGCATCACGGAGCTCTACTTA